GATCTCTACGCAGATCATCAGATTGGCGTGCCTCTTGGTAAGCCCTGTTGGCAAGCTCCTTAATGGCTCTCGCAGTGACTTCCGTATCAGTTGGATTACCTGTCAACTGATTGGGATCAGCGTTCTCTGGTGTTATAACATCTCGAGGACGCCTTCCAAAGGCCATTTCTAAAGGAGTAACTCCTCCGTAGGTAATCGAAGAGTTTCTTGCCAAACATGCTTGGCGAACGAGGTTGCCATACTTCATGGTGATTCCGTTATACTGCGGGTCACCATCCTTCAGGATCTGAAGTATGAGCTTAATCTGATGCTTCAGCAATCTTACAGCAGCTTCGGCCCTGTTGGGCCATGGTGTTCCAGGTCCTGTTGCCACAGGCTTGATATTCTGCCGATTGTAATAAGCCTCCATTTTTGGAGTCATGAATGCTTGATCTCCAACTACAACCTTTGGGTTGATCTGAAATTTCTCAAAGTAGTCATTCATAATCGACATTGTAGTATGTTCTTCTTTATCCTGGACTACTTCGGCAGTCAACAAGTTTGTTGCTCCATCATAGAGAATAAGAAATACTAAGCGACTATCCTTGCCGGGAATTGGAAGCTCACCGTGATCTACGAAGGTGAGATCACCGAAAGTCTCTGATCTTAAACCAGAAATCTTCGCTCCTGAAGGAGCTCTCACATGTTCCTGGCAGGCTGAACACTTTTTGACCAGTTGGTCATATAGCTCGTATATCTCCTTTGGGATCTGTAAGGCTTTTGTGCGTCGCTTGAACTGATCCGTACTCATATGACGGTGCTTAAGGTGAAGCTTATAGAGTTCTACAGGGTCCTTAAGCTTCTCATGAATCCTGCGAAGAGCAATGGGAAGAGATGGCGATGGTTCTGCGACAATCTCTTCACCTGTAGGTGAGTCTGTACCAGGAGCCGGGTATTCTCTTGACTCAAGTGGTCTTACCTCCGTCCCGTCATCAGCTCCTGGGACCTTAGACTTCTCTTCAACAGGAGGTTTAACCGCATATTTGCGGGATTTCTTCAGAAGGTTTTTAAGACCCTTTGGAGTCTTTATCTTCGCAGGTGGGACCTCAAGTCTTTCTTCTTCTGGAGGTTCATGTGGTGCAGAGGATTCTGCAGGTTTGTCCCTAGAGCCTGATGATGGTTCCGATGGTCCGGAAGGCTCAGGAACATCACCAGATGGTTCTGGTGGATCAAGTTTCTTGGCAGATGATTCTGCCGGATCAGATGGAAGAGGCTTCTTCTTACCTGGAATGCCCTTCGGTGGTGGATCAGCTGCTCCTTCAGGTGCTTTGTCGCAACCTTTGAGGAACGTATGAGGCTTTTTCTGTCCTGCGCAGGCTGGACAGCGACCTTCCGGGATCTTAGTATAAGATCTTCTTTCTTCCTTTGGCTTCTTAGCTCCTAGAGCAGTCTCCGTCGCACTGAACGACGTACCTGACTTAGGGAGATACTTCCTGGTGGAAGTGAAGCCTAGAAGGTCCAATACCAAATGGTTATTGGTACTAATCGGAAGAGGGGTTTTATACAAACCGAAAGCTTCACACGTTGCTAGGTCAGCTGTGGGACTGCACTCGAGGGTCATTCTTAAATTCCTCATCTGTTCGATGGAGAACAAAATGGGGACTCTCCCCTGATCCAAAACTTCTATGGTTGTATCTCTTCTTGGAGTTGTGTTGAACCATAGAGTTACACGCTCCTTGATAAGAGCTGTTTCACTATCTGCGAAAGAGAACTTCGTGTTCGAAGGTGAGAAAGTGAAATCAATCATGCCTGGGGCACGTTGCTTCACGGCCGTGATAAGCCTGTTCACCGCATAGCGGGAACCCATAGCCCTAGTACAACCTGAGTCAAGTATGACAAAGGTAGGGTTCTTATCAAGATTGATCCGCTCTGTAAGAGCAGATAGGACGGTGTGCTGCAACGGAAACACCGCTGTTGCAGTTTCAACACCTTGCCCCTCGGATGGTTCAGAGACCTGGGGCACGTAACTCACGGATGAGTTGTACACGGGTTCTTGGTGCGCGCTCGGATCTGTGCCTCTACCTGATGATCCTGCTTGATTTCTTCTCTTCTTTCTCCGTGTTTTTCTTCTTGAGGCTTGTGATGCATAGTATGTATAAGACGTTTGATCGTCATAAGCGGCATAATTCCAACTGGAGTCAGTATAATAACTGTCGTCATACCATGAATCCCAGCTCGGTGCGGTGGAACTCTCATAGGCCTGTGGAGATCCAGTTTGGTCTCCTTGTAAGGAGGCAGACTTAGCTGTATCCTTACCTTTGCCTTTTGCCTTTGTACCCTTGAAGGAGCTTCCTTTATCTCCTTTGTCCTTTCCTTTTCCTTGCCTTTTCCACCTTTTCCTTTTTCCTTTCCTTTGCCTTTACCGAAATAGCTGGAATCAGTTGGATCATGTTCTGCCTGGTTGGCTCTCCCTTTTCCGCGGTATGACCTAAAACGGCCACGTCCTTTTCGCTTGCCACCCTTTGCTCTTCCCGGTGATCCGGGACGCATTCTTGGTCTTCTTCCCTTTTTGAATCTCCTTGCAACGAAGGCTTCATGGTCGTCAACTGTCCAGAAGACAGCTTCTTCATCCTCGGCGGCAAGAAAGCCTTCCTCAAGGGTGTCTTCGTCTTGGAGCCAGAATCCATCGACTCCGTCGTATTCACCCTGATCGAGGATGAGGAAGTTTCGACCTCCGCGTTTGCGGCGTTGGTCTCTCCTTCCATGGCGGTCCTTCTTGTGAGAAGAGTGCCGAATGTTGGGATCCTGCAGACCAGTTCTGGTCGTTGAGAACTGATCGAACATGGTCTGCCGTACCACAGGGTACGTATAGGTCTCAATTCGGTGACCTTGGTTGGTCAATGCTGTTACCAACCTCTCACGTTGCATCTCATTTAGGTCGGACTGCACTAGGAAGAGGAGAGCTAGGAGATTATCATTCAGAGGAAACGCTCTTCGATGATTATCAAGGCGTTCCTTGTTCCATGTTTCGAAGAAACGTGCGGCGTATGTGTCTCTCTCGGTTGCATCCTGTAGGCGCAAGAAGGTTTGATCTGCCTGCACAGCCTGCATGAAATCTGGATGGGCATCTTCCAGAGCTATCTCTGGTAAGAGATCCATCCATGAGTTTCTCACGCGCTGTAGCACGATCTCAAACTTAGCAATCCCAGTCACAAAGTCTTGGTTGCCCTTCCATGCCTTGAATAGGCCGAGAAAACGCCACAGGAAAACGTACTGTTCTCCTTTCACGAAAAATGGACGCATCTTCTTCTTGAAGTAATCTACTCCATCTGGGGCTGCAAGCCTTTCTCGGTTAAGTGATTCTTTTTGTACTGCGGCCAATCCGGAGAGCCTCGTCTTGAGAGACGGACCTCTTTTGGTGTCATCCAGCGTTGTTATGTCGCACCAGTCGTCAATCAACTGTTCATACTCAAACCACGAGGTGGTGCCATCATAGGCAGGCGCGATCTTGGGCGTTATGCCTAATGATGCAAGCATGCGGTCAGATGTTGCATATGACTGTGCGACATAAGTAGCTGGACCTTGGGAGGTCTCTTCGTTCTCATATCCCCCGGAGGATTGGGAACTGCCGTCGGCTTCGCTATGCGAGCTCGACATTGTGCTGCCTCTTATCCGCTTGGTTAAGCGTTCGGCGAGGCCGACCGCTGTAGCGGACTTTGTGAGGCGGGCGGCCCTTTCCGGGCTCCGCTACCAGAAAACTGTGCCGATACACCCCCAAGGGATACTCCTTGTGAGGAGGTGTATGACCAGTTATTCCCTAAGGATCAAAGGGCAGCGCCCTGCACACGGACAGTAGTTGTTTTGTCTTGCTACGCAAGGAGAGCTTGTCTTGTCTCAATATGGTAAAACCACTGTGAGCCAATGGGCAGCGGAATGTATATGTATGAGCATGCAGCCATTGCTGTAGGTACCTGTTAGAGCTACCCCTTTAGAGGTTTATGGTTTCACCCCCCCCCCTTGTTGTTCCCCTTTTGAAGGAACAGCAACCCCCTTTTGAAGGAACAACAACCCCCCCCCCCCCTGTTGTTCCCCTTTTGAAGGAACAATAACCCCCCCCCCCCCTTGTTGTTGCCCTTTTGAAGTAGTTCGTAGTATAGTAGTAGTAGTAGTAGCAGCAGTAGTAGTAGTAGTCGTAGTAGTAGTAGTAGCAGTAGTAGTAGTAGTCGTAGTAGTAGTATAGTAGTACTAGTCGGGGGGGGGGGGTTGTTCTTTGTTCAACCCCCCCCCGTTGTTCTTCGAACAACAACCCCCCCCCCCCCATTGTTGTGTTCAAACCCCCCCCCCCCGTTGTTCTCGAACAACAACACCCCCCCCATTGTTGTTCAACCCCCCCCCCACGCGGCATCCGCCCACGGGGGGGGGGGGGTTGTTGTTCCCCAAATGTTGTTCCCCAAATCCACGAACAACAACCCCCCCCACCCCTCCCTATCGAAGCGGTCTCCTTTAAGATCCCGCTGACGCTGTCATGGGGGTCCAGTCCAGACGGCCTAAGTGATGCCACTACAGCTGTTGATCGCTCGTGGAGCGATGCTTTTGCAGTCTCTTAAACTATACATTTGATTACCCTAAGCGTCTAGATTCTAGTCTAGAAGGAAAGCGCCGATAACGGTACAATCTCAGTGCAGAATATGAGCTTCGAAGAAAACACCTCGCAGATCCTGGCAAACATCGCACGTGGCCCGGAGGATCCGCCAGAACTCCTGGATGACGCCGTCCGGATGCCGCTGTGCTGGCTGTTCCTTTCTCTTTCTCAAGGGATTGCGACTGGTGTTGCTGCCTTTGGTCCGTCTGGGGCCCCGTGTGCCTCAATGCTTTTCCTGCAACTGGGACGGACTGCTCTTTCGTGGTCAGTAGAAGCTGACTTCCCGTTCCCCACATGCCCTGACCCACGCAGAGCCGGGTGTGATTCCACAACGTGCAGCACACCCAGGTCGAACCACTGCTCCTTGCTCAACAGGGCCATGGCGTTCCTCCTGCAGCAGATGGCTTCTAAGTGCTGAGTCGGATGGATTCGGAATTCGACGCTCTCCTGTGTTTTGTAGCGCCTGAGGCAGGAGCTGCTCCTGGGCAGCAGCGAGCACATCTCAGCTACCTCGGACGTCTATACTCACGAGGCGGAGTCGGCGGAGTTGGCCTTGCTCTGTTACAGCGAATATCACCCGTTGGTGTGGAGAGAAGGTTGTCGCCGTGAACTTTACCCACTTCACGATGTTTCCTCCCATTTCCTATGTGGCTTGTTTGCAAGCAGCGGTGCCAGAGTTGGTGCAACAGGTTGAGGCTCGCAACTTGACTTCAAAATTGCATCTCTTCGGCACTTCCAGGCACCCTCTGAGCTTTGCTCCTTTCTTTTGACAGAGCCCGGCAGAGCTCTGCCAGCTCACAACTCGTGAACTGTGGAAGAGCAGTGTCTGTCTGCTGCAGGATTTATCCTTCGCGCTGAAGGTCCCCTCGCTGATAAGGCCCAAAGGCCACCCTGCCGCATAGGGACATGTCGCGCTCTGGAGTTTCGGTTTCGATGCCAACGGATGGCCCACAGCATGCAGCAAATCACAGCCGGAAATTGCCATGCCATGCCGTCAGGGCCTTATAGCAATCCGAGTCCGTGCCCAAGGCACTCACCAAGATGACGTTCGCCATGCGATGGCCGTGGAGAGGGCAAGGCCTCTTTGGCGGAAGTTTTAGGAGACCCAGCAAGTCAGCTTTCCTCGCGGACCACCGAGGATGGCCCATTGTCATGTGCAATAGCCATGCTCGCGACAGCGACATCGATAAAGCGCGCTTGTAAAATGAACAGAGAGGGCCATCAACGGGATGGCGAAGGGGTTCTTGTTTGCCCCAAACAAGAGCCCTTCTTGTTCTTCGGTCTCAAAACAAAAGAATGATGATGGCGGCGGCGTGGTGCCAGCCACGACACCACCACCGGCGTCGCCGCCCCCACCATCACTACCACCACCACTTCCGCCGCCATCACCACCACCGCCGCCACCACCACCATCGCCCACTGACCAGCGGCACCGCCACTAGCAGTAGCACCACCAACAACGACAAGCACTTGAATCACTTGGTCAAAGACCGTCAGCTGCACGCACGGTCGTTTATTGCCACAGTGTGTTGGAGAACGTGTCATACTGCCCGCCGGAATGCGAACTTCCGGGTGATTCACAAGCTTACTAGTCTGCTATGCATGGCAAAGGGTGGAATGTCATGAAATGTTGGTTTGAGACTGACGGCGCCGTATACAAAAGAGCACATAGAACAGCGAGGGGGCCGAACTCCACTTAGAACAGATCCTCCGTAACTTTGGCGAAGGCGTGTGGAGCCACATCGGATCCGGGTTTGGCTTCAGACGCTTGCTACTGGATCGCGTGTGGCAGCTCCTTTTTTCTATAATCTTTGTTGATGAGAACTCTCATTTTGTGCAGGAGCCTTGTTCTGCTGCAAATACGTAGGTATACGTAGGTTGATGGAGTCTCGACGCAGATCTGAGAACGAAGATAAGCGACCTTTTTCCCCAGCAGTCTTTGGCGTGCCAATCGTGTGGACGGTGGCCGAGCTTGTGGCCAAACAGCAGAGCAACAGAGCAAGTCAATCATCATGCCAGGTTTGGGTTTGCGAGCCCCCTTCTGGAGCTGCTGGTGACGGTGTGGCTGGATGGGGCCAGGCTGGAATCCTTCTAAGAAAGGCATCGGTGTTTCCGTGCTCCCTTGAGGTGTCGGATGATGGCGAGGTGGGGAGGTAAGTTGAGCTGCACTTGTCAAGCTTCATCGCTGCCGTCTGGATTTTAGCAGTTACCGCCCCGGAACGCCCACAAGAAGATGCAGCCAAACAAGCTGAGATTCTCGGTGTCGGTCTTAGGCAACCAATCGCCCCTGGCTCCATACGCCCTTGATTCGCAAGGGCCCCATCATTGTCTTGGGGGCATCGAGATAGGTGAGCGCCAAGACGAGTGGTCACCGCTGCCGCTTCAGCAGCGTGTTTGGTCTGGGTGGTGCCGAGATGTGCCGAGACGATGCAAATGAGCTCTTTTGCACGTGCTGTCTTTGGTGGGGTGGGCCTCCCTGTGTCGCACAGCCCTTTCGACAGGTGGATACGCGGAAGCTGTGCTAGTGGTCAGTGGGTTTGTGGGTCGGTCTTCGTCCAAACTCTTCGAGATGCGCTAGCAGCCAGTTGAGAGCTTTTTCAGTATTCCGGAGCAGTGAGCGGTTGTCATCTGATTTCATGGTGACGGTGGCATGACTACGACAAATCACTTGGTGCAGTCTGAGCGACAGTGCTTGATGCTTGCTTTCGCAGGATTTCCAGGTGAGAGCCGTGAACTCAGGAACTGGGAGTCCTTGTTAACCCTCCAGTTTCATTCTCGGTGACAGTTGCGAGTATGAGCACCGACAACCCTCGTACATAGTTCTGGAACTTCACGTCTCTCGGTCTGGCATTTGTACTATTGTACCATGGCCCGCGTAACCAGGTCGTGTACGATCTGGAAGACCCTCCGGACTGGCTCTATGCGGCCTATCGGTCCCTGGATCGCGTACGAAAGCTTCAGCGCTCTTAGAGCTTGCAATCATCCGTGTGCAGTCACTTCAGACCTAGGCTTTTTGTGGGCGATGCGGCGTACAAGCCACGAGACTTCCGCCAAGTGGACCCCGACAAAGCCACGATTCACGACACAGTCTAAGGGCCGAAATGGATTGGGGTTACACCGTTGGGCTGCGCTTTGCAGCATTCGAGGATTTCCTACAAGATCTGGAGCTAGTGACCTGTCCCGGCAGGACATGCACTGGGTCCGGAGCGTGGACCTCGCGTTCCCTTATTGAGCGAAAAGCAGACAAGCTGTTGCTGCGTTGCACGCCTTGCCTTGCTGTGCCCGGCCTGAGCTTCGGATCCGACGCACGAGACCAGATGAGAGCAGATGAGACCAGAGGATCCACAGCACCCTGACAGGCTGCAGCACTTTGGGCGCTCCCCCTCCAGAGGCGAGATATGAGATATGACCCCTTCTTGCCTCGTTCCATTTGTCCCACATGACCAGGAGGTGGTTCGGCTTGACCCAGCCAGTGTCTCAGCCGCCTCGTAGACGAGACCGCCTGCAGGCTTCGTGTTCTCCAGGCAGAGCATGCTGCCATTTCCCAGCGAAGCTGACATCCCAAGGCGGCTGATGCCGTTTCCAGTATACCGACGCAAGACAGGACCGTCTCTGAGAGTTTCAGAGAGAAGATGTAAGCATGTGAGGTTATCTGCACTGTGGGCCAGCGATGTCAACTTGCCAAGCTCTGGTTATTCCAGGTGTTGCAGTTTGCTCTGCACCCGTCGCTTTGTCCTTGTAAGATGTTGGAGGTCTTCCCTTCTAGGGCCTAGGGAAGTCGCTGCCGACCCGGGAGGCCCGAGCGGCCTGCTGGAAGCCCTGCTCCACTTCGCATCGCAGAGGCCGCTCGGCTTCCGTTTGCTGAGCACTTGAAGTGACTCCTGGCGACCTCGGAGGACGCTGACGCTGGAGAGCCAGGGCCCCCAAGGGCCCCAGGGCCCCAGCGGTTCTGCCCTCGTTCTCGTTGCTTTCTGAGGTTGGAGGAGCCGGACAGCAGTGACGAGGAAAAGAGCCCTTCTGGGAGTTCAAGGGCTTTTTTTTGGAAGAAGTGCCGGCTCGGGCAAGGCCCTCCTGATGTTTTCTTTCTCGTCTTGAAACTGGGTTTGCGCTTCTGCTTCGTGCTTCTGGCTTCTCATGTTGGCTTCTACTCGTAGTTTTTTCTTTTCTCGCTTTTTGCTTGTCGCTGCTTGCTACTCTGACTGCTACTGCTTCTACTGCTACTGCTACAACTACAGATCATATTGAATCTGCTGTTTGTAGCAACACCCAAGCCCCAGCCTGTTGTGCCAGAGGAGCTTGAGGACCTAGCTCCACGGCCCGAACAGGCCGCATGCGTCTTGCACAAGCTTCGCAGTTCCATCGAATCGAACTTTACTGGAATGTGGAAGCTCTTCTGGGCGGTATCGCAACATGACAAGGATGCTGTCGCAGATAATCACAAGCCGTTCGCAGTTGGCTGGAACATGCGCGAAATTAGGGCAAGGTCGTTCCCGGAGGCCACTCTCTTAAGCCCCCCTCCGATTATGAGAAGACATAGGGCAAATAATCAGGTGAACCAACGTGCTGGACCAGGTGAGTTTAGTGCAGAGCAGAATCTTGCAATGCTTTCGGTCTGATCGATCCAGAGAGCCAGCGTGTTTGCTCTGCCTGCCTCATCTCCTCTAGCTTTCGTAGCCACCTCTCAAGTTCTTACTTAAACATGCCTAAACCAAATTCGAACCCACAGTCAGCAGAGAGCAGGAGGAGACTGCCAGATCTTATGCGTTGATTCGTTATCCATCTAGCCAGGTATTCTCGGCATCGGTGCCACAGGAGGCTGCCAGGCTTCAGCCCATCTTGACTCCCTCCGTTGTTCCGGATCAGAAAACATCAAGACGTTTTCGGCACACTTGCCATTTGGAGCTTCGCTGGTGGTGCGGAGCAGGCCCCTGGTGCCTTCCAGCGTTCCGCAGCAGGACTGCTCGCGGCGTGCCACATCGTTCTAGAACCCGGGCTAGTGTATGTCCGAGCCAAGCGTTAAGTGTTGGGTCTGGAAGATGTGCGTTGTAGTTGTGCGCCAAAATAGTGAGACAGGAAGAATGCAGATGCCTGCTGTAAAGAGTCTGTGAGGGAGGCTTCGGCTTCAGAGACTTGCAGATTCTCTGGCTGTCTGACAGGAAGCAGAAGCAGCACCGTGACGTCCTCGAGAATAGACATGTGCGGAGGGCGCAGCGCAGCAGGCAATTTAGGGTTATATGACATATGGCAAGTGCTAAGGTTGCCGGCTGCAGACACTTTGGACAGTAGCGACGAGGCGCAGAGCTCATGCACCGAAGTTGGGGCCGCAAAGCCTTGTGCTTCCGCAACCCGAGGAGGAGCTCGAAGATGTGCAGCCACAGGCCGAACCTGCCGGACAGGAGGCCTCGAAGGCCAGATGCAAGAGTCAAGGCGGCGCATTGCGGCGTTGTTCTCGCTTGGCAGGCACCACTTCCTCCGATTGTCAGGCCCGCCTTCTTGAGAGATTCCTGCAGGTGCGTCAGGTGCAAGGGAAAGTGGGTTGCAGATGTTGCCAGCACTGCTGCACTGTCCGATATGCCTACATGCCTGCAGTCCACAGAAGCCGAAGATTGCATCACGAGTTGCAGAGGACAACACTGCAGGCGGTGTTGCCACGCCCTGCGCCGGTATGTCGGTTTCACGTGAACACTTGTCGGAGCGTGCACCATTTACGTTTAACTGCTTGAGCTTCAGCTTCCTTGCCTCATCAGGGCTCCGGTCCCAGCCATCATGCCCAAGAAGGCACAGTACTGACCGCCGTCAATCCCCGACCATCAGTGCCAGGATCCCTCCCATCCCCAGAGCGAGCGGACAGCATTGCTTGCTGTTGCTGTTGACATGGGCTGCAGCTGGCAGCTGCAGGGGTATCCACGGGAGCTAAGCAGGTCAGCCTGGCATTCGGGCTCCAGTGGGCATTGGACGACCGGTCTTTCAAGACAAGACGTAGGACGCAGGCTGTGCTTTTTGAGAGGTGCCTTCACTCTCCTTCGCTGGCCTCCGTCCATCGCTTCAAGGATGACAGAGACTTACAAGTTACACCAGTTACACACACAGACACGACGGGTGGCTTCATCGATTGAAACCAGGTTCAGGCCTTGGAGCACCGCCACCCGAGGAGCCGAGCTGCTCGCCGTAGGCGCCCGCAGCTGGGAATAGGGGCTCGATGCAAAGCTCCAGGAGCCAGGCCAGTCGGCAGTTCTGGGAGCCACACCGGTGCCTCCTCCGCAGGACCTTATGCCTTATTATGCACGAAAGGCAAGCCACACACACGCTGCTCGCCGTTGCTTTTCCAGGAGATGATGTCACCCCCCGTGGAGGACCGAATTTGCCGTTCCAGAGTAGACGGTTCTCCTGCTGGCAGTCTTTCTGTCCCACACATCTTCAACATGCATTGTGCGGATTTTTGCGGTTGTGCGGGAGAGAAGCTGCGCGAGGTGCACGCTGGCGCTCTGTCGTCGGCAAACGAAAAATCGAGCTCCGGTGAGGATATCCTTTGGTGGTTTCAGGGCTTTTCAGGGATTCCACACGGCATGACGACATGCGGCTTACCCGGCTTACCCTTCGCGGGACTGGTAGGTGAAGCTTGCGTTTTGAGATTTCGCAGGACAGCTCGCTTGCCGACGAGGACGGACTTTGCAGATCATTCAATCGACCGCAGCTCGTACTAGCGCTGCACTCAAGCTTGCCGGTTATTTCGATCGGAGGACGTGGCAGAAAGCCAAAAACAGGATGAGGCAGGGAAGGGATCCGGAGGGAAGCTGGGCTGAATGTCCTGCACAACTGCGGTTCGAAACTGCCAGCCGAGTATCTGATGACGGGAAGATACGGGAAGACCTGGCAGGAGCTGGACAGCAGTGATGAAGATCTTTGGGAAGAGGCTTTTGCAAGAAATCTCCCGTACACCTCAGGTGAGAGGAAGCGACTCGGAGTTTTGGCCGGGGTCACGCATCACGACGACCCGACCGACCTCGAAGCCATGTCTTATCAAGTCCAACTGCTAGTGCTAGAGAGACTGAGAAGGCAGCTACGAGACCGAGCGGACCTTTTGTTGCTCAACCCCTACACAGCTTTAAATGAGTTTAAGTCAGAATCACCGCGAGTGGAGTCGACCCGTCGTCGAGCCTTCCATGGCGATCGAGCTTGCCTCCGACAGTGATTGCGAGGTGCTTGAGGTTCCGACAAAGAGGCGACTGCTCGCGACCTTGCTCACTCTCTGGCTCTGACTGGTTGGACAGTTGGACCCTTGCTCTTGAGTCTCTAGTGACATTATAGTGGTGCTCGTGCATGCTGAGATTGTGTGCTGAGAAGATTGACAAAGTCCTGACCAACCGCGCCCACAGTTTCGAAGGCCTCGGGGGCCACCCAGCTTGGATGCAGCGCTTCGGCATGTCTTCCTCCCTCCAGACCTGCCGCCGGTGCCCGACTGTCAGCAAAGAGTTTCGAGCGGACCTTGACTTTAGCTAGGTTTTGGTGCAGCCATTTTTCTCCGTCCTTGAGTTGCTCGCACAGCGTCCGCCAAAGCAGTCCTGACGCTGTTGGTTCAGGTGGCGCCGCTGCCGACTCCCCAGCGGCCTCGGCCCAAGGTTCCAAAAGCCGCGGCTGGTTCCCGCGGAAGGGGGCTCAAGGCTGCGTATGGCTCGTGGTCCCATACGGTTTGTGATGTTTAAGGGACTGAAATCATGCTGACCATGCGGCCACCAGGCTGCATAACACACGCGAAAAATCTCCCGCAAAGTCGATGTGCAGGCACTCTTTCGGCAACGCCGAGAGGCACCACCGCCTGTAGTCCGAGCTGTGGACAGATAGCGGCTATGTGTCTGGGATCTAGAGCGACTCGCAACAGTATGGCCCCCAAGTGAAAGTGAGCCACCTGCACAGCTGAAAGGAAATCCAGCAGAAGCGGGTTGAACTGGTCGAGGCAGCACGAGCCGACGTCTTTGTAGGTCTGCACAGTCTTGGTGCCTCGAAGTCCGGCCAAATGGCAGTGGTAGAATAGCGGAAGTGAGCGCCTGCCTGTTTGTGTGGGCAGGAGCGTCATGACACTGCGTCTCCGCAAGCTGAAGGCGAAAGCGAGGCCTTTTCAAAGCGATACAATACACAGTGTATGCACTGTCCGGCTCCGGCTCCCAGCGACAGGGTGGCGAGCGGCTCGAGCGGCGCGGCTTGGAAATTTTGGGGTCGACAAAACTTGGGCTCTGCAAGTTCGAGGTCTCGTGGAAGCCTGGCCTTGCTGATGGCACAGGACTTGTTCCCGGACTAGCGGTTCACACCCGGTCGTAGCATGGATAGCCATGTTCGGGATGCATGTCAGGCTTTCGCAAGTTGATGCATCCCAGTTTGTCACAGGTCGAGAGCAAGGCATCTAAATTTTGGGAGATCAGGCAGGACTTCTCCCTGCTCTTGCCGAGCGCATCGCCTGTGCTGCACGGCGAGGCGAACAGAGAGGTGCGGATACCTCTGAAACCATTTCACGTAGTGAGAACCAGCAGCATTTCGATAGAGTCCTGAAGACGCCCAGTCGCTGTGGTCTGCAACAACCGGACGCGAGCACGATTGTGGAGCAAATCGAACACTGTGCCACAGTTTGGAGAGCCGCCATGTCGCACGTGCGGCGTAAGCACTCTTCTTTGGTGAAAGGTGCCATGGCACGGCCTGCTCTTCGGTCTCTGGCGCCTTGTCTTTCCCGATCTTGCAGCGTTGGATGCAGGTTAGAGTGCGCTTTGCCTGTGAGGGACTCGTCTTTTGCTCCGAGACAAAACCGTTCGTGAGGTCTACAACCTACGCCAGAACGCAGAGCTAGTGCACAAGGCCGGCCGTAGGAAGCTATGACGGGCCGGTCTTTAGCATGGCGTTGTAGATCCTTGCCATACGCGCTGTTTGCTAGAACTTCGTTGGACGGTGACCCCAGTTTGGCATAGGCCGACCTGTGATCATTGCATAACGAAGCAGCGAGGTGAACAGCGGGGAGGTTTCGGCGGAAGCCCTGCTGCGCATGTCGCATGTGGACCCGGGGATTATTCGTGTTTCGAAACAACATTGTTTCGTGGTGCATACACGTGTGAGATCTTGATGAGTGAGATTTGGAATTCCAGAAAGTAGTTTGAAATTCCAGAAAGTAGGACTGGGCATAAGCGGAGTTCAAGGGCGCTTTCCTGTACCCTTTGACCTACGTCTTGCGCATGGCGAGGCATCGGAGCTGCGGACTCACCATGATGCATCCAGGCATTTCAGGCTCAACCGTGCCAAAACTTAAGGCTCCCTCCCTGCCTTGATGCAGCTGAGAGGTTACCAGGAAGGGATCATTGATCGCGTCCGAGCTGATACGCAGACTCGGTCCACAATGCTTGTTTCTGGTGCCGACTTGCCTTCTTGTCGAGCAGCAGTCGAGGGCCATTCGCGATTGGACGAGACTTCAAGTTGTCGAGTTCATGGGTGGAGTCGCCATACCTCAGCAGTTTGATGTCTTGGTTTCGACACCCAAAGCCTTTCACATGGCGCAAGCCAAAGGGATTACAAGCTTTCTTTGGGATGCATTTAAGTTGGTGGTCTTCGACGAGGTTCATCACGTCTTAAAGGATCATCCGTAGCGAAAGCTAGCTTTGTCGCTGTCGAGGATGTCAAGCAGTCGGCCGCAAATTTTGGGCCTATCAGCTTCCCTGACATATGCGGTCGGAGAACAGCGGGTCGAGCAAGATGTGGCACGCATTTGCCGGGAGCTGCAGATTCGGCAAATGGCCACGGCAACTGCCGCTGAGTTGGAAGCTGGCGGCTACCACAGTAAGCCAGCAGAAGCATATCTCCCAACGTTGAATCTTCCCTTTGCAGCACCAGCAGGCGTGCTTCCTGTCGCAGAACGCAAGCCGCATCTCATGGCAAAGATTTTCTTCGAGCGACTTCTAAGCAGGAATGCAACTCCGTTTGCGCAGCGATTGTTTTCGGTGGTGCAGTCGATGGAGGCGGCAGTGGAATCAGAGGATTTGGCGTTCCAGTCTCCGTTGCAGAACTCTGCCCCGAGGATGTGGGGAGACTATGCGCACAAGAGAATCCCTCGGTCGGCAAAATTTGCTTCGTTAGAGCACTGGTACGAGTCTTTGAGAATGCTGATAACCTCGTGGGAAGAGGCCGAGGATGCTGCCACTACATACTTGCAAATGGTTGGGGAATGCCAGTCGGAGTTAGGCACGTGGCCGAAAGAAGTTCGAGCGGCTTCTCTGCAGTTCTGGCAGAATGTACCAGATTCGTATCCACGCTTCGAGCATCTGAAAGATGTGTTGCTGTATGAAATTGAAAGCCTTTGTAGAACGCAAGGATGTTTCAGGGGCATCCTCTTTGTGCAGCAGCGCGTCATGACCCACATCTTGGAGCATGTGATCAAAACAGACCAGGAGCTTACGAAGAAGCTCCATCCTGCATGTATCTATGCAACAACATCGCCTGCGACAGCCACATATCGTGTTTCCGCCTCAGAGTCTAAGACTCGCCTCGCCCAGTTTGCCCATGGCGACATCAACTTGCTCATCACCACTGTCGTTGCTGAAGAGGGGCATGGATGTTCCAGCTGCAAACTGTGTCATTCGGTTCGATCCGATGATCAATTCTGTCTCCTTTGTACAGGGTCGCGGACGTGCACGCCGAGCAGATTCTTCTTTTGTGGTGCTTTCTGAGCGGCATGATCGACCCACATCGACTTTGGCGGCGGTGGAGGCTCAACAGATGGAGAAGCTCAGCTCAGGATAGTTTCTCAATTCTGCAAGTCGTTGATGACGTTTTAGAGCTGTCGGTGTCTGGCAGCATGCTGTGTTGGATCTATACGCTAGTTTAGTCTGTTGAAGCCGTCTGTGCAAGGATTATACGCAGCTTCAAGCCTGACGAAGCAGCCGCCGATGCGACGAGGGACCTGGCAGCACAGAAGTCTCGTGAGCAAAATGCTCGTCAAGTTCTTCTGACCGCGATAAGCGAATCAAATACTGCCATGGGGACGTTGAATCTGTACTGCAAGAAGACGAAAGTCGAGCTCCAAGAAGAATTCAGCCTGGTTGATGGTGAGTTCAGATGCAAGCTAACATACGAATCTGTTCTTAGATCTCTTCAGGCTGCAGGATCTTCCGGCGAGTTTTCTCGTGCGGCCGATGGCAAGAAGAAGGCGAAAAGAAATGCAGCGATTGCCCTTCTGGAGGCCCTGCGAGAAGCCTCAAAGACATGAGGTGACCCGGGTTGAAGCACCGCCGCGCTTCCGTGGCGGCCACTGCAAAGGGCAAAAAAATCATGCGCTGTGCTCGTCACATAGCTTGGGATCCATTTCGGCAAGCCGGTGAGCATTGGAGCCTGCGATTTGCGGGAAGGACTTAGCTGGAACTTCGACAGTGGCGCGCCGTCAGCGCCTCCATGCTGAGGCCCTCCGCGATGTGGCTGCCTGGCATTTGCATAGACAGAGTGTTCCTAAGTGGCATCATTCACGAGCACGAATTGTCGGCAACTGAAGACAGTCATGCATTCTAGAGTCACGCCTTTCAAGCAGCCGGCTTAACTAAGGTTGTGCAGGAGTTCGGGCTCTGCAGTGTGCAGTGCGAGATTGCAGTGTTGACATTGCCGCCCTTGTGCAGCTTTCGTTGGCAAATCCGTTTGTGCAACCTGTGTCGTAAAATTGACCGATGCAGCACGAGCACAGGATCAAAGCACATTTGCCGTGCGCTGTGGAAACTGTGGATCGGAAGATGCGAGAGGCATGCACTGTGAATCTGCACGAAGTAATGTTGAAACGAGCTCTGCGATGTGGAAGACGTTGATCAGTGCAGTCAGTCTGCAAAGTGGAAGACGGCCAGTGCAGTCAGTTGTGGGGTCGCCCGCATGCAGGCGTCATGACGCAAACATCCGGACCGCAGGACAAGAGCAAACAGTGGCCAGCAATCTTAATCGAAAGCGCCCACTGTTTATGGGCAATGCCCTTCATGACCTTAAACCTCAGGTGGTTTACATGTCAATGTGGCACGTTGAGATTAAATCTCTGCCCCTCTGCTTGTGAACCACGTGAGGATGAGGGATGGAGCCAAATGTCAGTTCGAGGGAGTTGCCTGCACTGCGGCCATGCCAGGGGCTGAGACACGCGGGTATTGAGATATGATGGACTCACGGATGCGCGCCATTCAAAATCCAAGCTTTCTTAGCTTCGTGCCCAGGTCTGGCTTGATGGGAGAGACTAACGACGGAAGGACTCCAAGGATCTCCAAAGAGTCCTCACGGCGGCGGGGCGGAGCCCCTTCGCCTCTCGGCCTCCGACTCCCCGAAATTCCTCAGCGGTCTGAGAGAAGCTGCCCGCTCTTCCACAGTGCCGGGAGACGACATGGAGAAGCGGAAGCGTCCGGGCGCCGTGAAGATGGGCTGAGCGGCTCTGTAAACCTGGCGCTGGATTGGCACCTGCACGAAAGTCGACATGTTCAAAGCTCGATGAACAAAAACAAGTTGCTGCGTTGGCTCCCCTTGTACCGTTGGGAGCTTGAGGCCCACGCCTCACCCGGACCAATGCCATGCCCCTCAAGCCATGCATGGCTTCGACTTCTGTTTCTGCCGAAATGGAAGCATTCTTGGCTTAAGTAGAAGCGCGTGATACAACTAGAAGTGACTACAATCGTGGTGTTGGAGCTGATTATGAAAAGCTGGCCTCGTTTTTGCGTGCTTCGCAGGGTGAAGCGCCCGAAGTAAGATCTCCGGCTGCGAGGCTTGGGACTTGCATGCAATGCGCATCAGTTGATGGATGTTCAAAATCAAGTTTGTGAAGCCGGACCATTGCAAGTCTGCAAAATGGTTTTCCTATGAGTAAGGCGACTCCACATTCAGGCTTTGGGTGTGGCCACGCAGTGGAAGACCATGAGATCAAGATCAGATGTGAGGTCCCCCGTCAAGCACGTGCCACAGCTTTCCCTGACGGGGCTGCGCTCCAGCCTCCAGGCCGGCAAGAGCGGAAGCTCAAGTGGCAGCTCAGCAGTTGCTGCTGTCTGCCATGCAAGATTCAGGTTCAAAGTGCACGGGGGGTTCAAACTCAACTACCAAACGCGAAGGTGTGCAGAGACTCGTCTATGCTATTTTCCTGGTCCCCGGTACTCGCCGACAAGTTCTGTGCAGTGCAGGGCTCCGCGCTTATGGGGCTGCCGCCTCCGGAGGAGCCAGGCCGACTTTTTTGGTTTCCAAGCTCATGACTTCTCTGTAGCCCCCCTGTGCACTTGAGGGGTATCTCCAGTGAAGGTGGAAGACATGTAAAGTCACAGATGCCTGCCTCTGATGCCCTCTAGTTTTTGCACGGGCGTGTGACATAACGCACGCTCGCAAACCAACTTTCCAACACTCGCAACATACGTATCAATTGCTGGCCTTAACGTACACGTGCCAGATGTACACACTTTGACTGTTGTCGGGGTGGGGTGACTCAGGGCAGCCAATTCTTACCCCGTTCTTGTTTTCTGTGTTTCTCGGTTCCTTGCTCTTGCCCTCTTTGTTGAATCTCTCCCTCTCTCCCTCTTCGGCTCTTGCTTTGAAAGGCCACGGAGCCGATGCATCGCTGCCGCCACTGCCGGAGCTGGGGGGCCGAATGCAGTCTTTCCATGTGACCGAGCATGCGCTGTGCAGACTTCCCGGCCGCAAAGTCCGAAAGCCACTCCTCTTCAGACCTCCCAGGGCAGCGTTGCAGGAAGGCGCCACCGTTTGCAAGCGCAGGTTTCGGGTGTCAGGGCGGGTTCAAAGCTGCTGGTACCTCCTACTTCACTCTCCGCTGGGCCTTTTCAGCCTTTCCTTTTCTGTGCTGTTGCTGCTTGCGTTGTTCCAGGACACTGCTGTGCCTCAGTGGAGCTTCAGCTTGGTTCAAGCCGTTGTCCTCATGCAAGCACATGTCAAGCCCCGAAGACACCGCAAAGATCCTCTGGCTTCCTTCTTACGCTTCGCCATAGCGTACTCGAGACAGGTGCCGGAAGTAGACGTCGAAGGGGAGGCAGACCCCAGTGCCTTGTCTGTCCCCACAGCAGTCGTTCCATCTGCAGCTCCGCTTTTTGGCTCGAGCATCGAGGGCCCGGCGCTGGAATCCTGAGGCACGTTTGACGTTAGCTTGACAAACACTCCCCGTCTCAAAAAAGAGCAGCATCGGCGCTCTGCAAGGACCATGATTGCTGCGCTCCTGGCCGCTCTGGCCCTCGGAGTCGCGATAGGGCAGGAGCAGAATCACAAGGATGACCACGTCGGCCCCGTGGCCGGGGTCTTGCAGGGTTGACTGTATGTGAGCAGCGAGTGCGTGCCGAAGTAAACACGAACGAGAGGCTCCTGGAAAGTTATGCACCTGAGCAGCCTGAGCACAAAGCCCAGCCTGGCTACAAAACGAGCACGGCTGCAGGGTGTTCAAATCTTGACCCCGGGTCTTAGGCTGTTGGACACCATGTCACTGAAGCATCGGACTCCAACCCCTGACTCCGAACTATTATGCCTCATTTAAACCACATCGGTACAGGGATCGCCTGCTTTGCTAGTGCTTTGAAGTGGGAGCATGTAAAGTGGATTCTCGTCCCCGGAACGCATGAAGTGAGTTGATCTGCAGCATTTCAGCATGGGCATGGGGCATCCGAGGGATGATTACCCGGAGGCGCAACAGCCTCAAGACCTGTGACGTGCCGAGGATGCTCTATGCCAATCAGTCAAGTTGCCAGTGCTTTGTGGCTACCTCAGGCAGCATCGAGAAACATGCGAAGAAAGGTATGCAAATCATATGCATGTCACTTCTCGCTGCAGTTGCACTACTGCCACTTAAGGTTCTTGCAGGGGAGTGGACATCCCCAAATCCATGCAAGACCTCCAGCACACGCCCTTCCTGAGGCGACAATATGCCCGCCGCCGCTACATCCTCAACAAAGAAGAAAGTAGATGGCTGCGAGGTGGCTCCTGCTGAGAGTTTTCGGATTTTGATGGCCTTGCTTGAGTCTCGTCGCACAGGGTCGGGTGAATACCCTCAAATCGACAAAGCTGATGTCAGACAGTTTCGGCTAAAGCAGTCGGGCAGGATTGATTGTCAGACAGGACTCCGACGGCACTCGCCCGTCTAAACTGTAGACGATGCGGCTAAAGGACAGGGTGTGGCATTGACAGCTCTCAAATGTCAAACCGACGAAGACGCTGCGTGCACATTGGCTGATGCTGACAGTCTCGAATCTCGAACATTTCGAGAAGGTCTAATGTGTTCTGACATCTGTAGTCTGTAGTCTGTACTGAGACGCAAAAGCGAGTGGTGGAATGTAGAGCGTGACAGCGCGCAGGTCAATCCCAGCTCCTGTTGCAAGGCAGGGCCAGGGAGCTCAGGGCTCTTCCCACGGCGAGGTTTCGATCGCTTGGCTGCATCTATCCAGCTGACCGCGGGAATCACTGTGGCCCGCGAGGACTCCACATGTGGAGCTTTTCCAGGGATGGGCTGCTGCCGCCCTGACTCTGATTCTTGTCAGCTTGCAGCTTGCATTTCAGCGACCACATTCAAGTTTTTGAAAAGCTGGGATCCTGTCGCCAGGGAAACAAAGAGGTGACACGCAGTGCTCGGGTGCTGCTCTCAGCTTGCAACGGGTACTTCTCAAGCGGACCTCTTGGGCTGACGACTGCGCAAGCATGCGCAAGTGCTCGTGGTTGCACACACATCAAGCTCTTAGAGCGAAGCACCTTCCCCAGTCGGGTTTACAAATTTGGGCATTTTTTAGCTTCAGTGATCACGAGCCACAACCACACCGCACATAGACCGCCACCCGACCGCAGTGAGCCAGCCACCCGCCGTCGCCGCCAGAAAAATCAGGCAGAAAACATCCCCTCCCCACAGATCTAAAGGCTTCGTTGGCACAGGTAGGCCTGAGCCGCTTTACCCGTTTTTGGTGAAAGCTTCTCCACATGTACGGTGGTTTCCCCCACACACACACACAACACACACAATCACACTCTGATGAGAGTGTACAAAAGTTGGATTTGGGAAGTGCTGTTTAGCGTCCCATACAGTACCCGACGAGATAGCTGAATGTGCAAAAAAGATCTTGATGCCACACACTCATCGACTGCTATAGATGCCGTAAGGGGCCCATCCTGCCCTGTGGGTAGGCCCCGCTGCTCAGGTTGGATCTCCCATCCACCACCGTAGCTTCTTCGCACATTGCAAGTTGTGGACGCCCTGCGCCACAGCGATCCAGTGCAAAACGACTTCTTCCCAATCTGCCTTTTGGCGCTCGACAGCGCGCAGGAGCGATGAGAGCTTTCGATGAAAGTATTTTCAGCTCCCCCCGCGCTGAAAACGATCACAGGGCTTCAACACAAAACATCACATGAGTCCAGCTTTGGTTATCACGGTGGGCGCTATCACGTTCATGTGCAATAAAGTGTTACTACATTGCTACACGAATGGCAGTGAACTAGACCTTTACCTAGCCAGAGCACCTGCCGACATGCCAATTGCACTGTGTCTGCACGTGAGGCGCAATAGAGCCGAATACTAAATCAGCGAGAGCCAGATGTATACCAGTTGATCAGCAATCTTGCGGAAATCTCGCACCTCGCATCGAGGGCCCGCGTACCTTACTTCTTGTGAACGCAAGGGAGAAAGACAGAAAAGGCTAATCCTGCGTAACTTAGAAATAGAAGATGTCGTGCATGAAAGCTTCAATAGGAGCTCCGACAAGCGTCAGCTTTCAGGCCAAACAGCAGGTACCGGCTGTCAATTACACGGTTTTCCCTTGTTCGTTTGCTAACCTCCTCCCTTCGTTTTCCTTTCCTGCACGCACCACAGCAGGGCACCTGCTGCAGTGAAAATGCCTTTGGCCCGCTTGGACTGCGCACTTCTCAGTTGAGTCGCCAGTGATCAGCTTTGTTTTGTCACGTCAGCTTCCGGCTCCCCGGCAATTGCCAATTGCCGGGAAGTGAGCCCGGCACGGGCGCACCGACACTTTCGAGCTGGCTTAGGTCGGCCCGCGCAGTCATGCAGTTGCATTTGTCTTGCGGCTGTGCTCTTGTAACGTTTCAGTCACTTTTTACGTGCATTACTGTCGGCAGTTTTCAACTGAAGTGGCGTGCTTCCTGTCCGAGACTCTGTGCTTGTAGTTTGTTTCTCTGTGAGTGCCGGTGTGCGCGCTTGTATTTGTGAGGGTGTTTGTGTGTCTCTCTGTGTGTATTGTCCGTGCCTGCGTCTGTGTCGGTGTCTGGTGTCTGTCTCTGTCTCCGTCTGCGTGTGGGTATGTGTGTCTGCGTCTCTGTGTCTGCGCCTTTCTCTTTGTATCTCTGTGTCTGTGTCTCTGTGTTTGTGTTCATGTATATGCTCCCTGCTTCGTCAACATCATGCTGTTCGCTCCCATTAGCGCTCCCCAACGACAGCTTTCTGTCTCGGCGGCTACCTCCCGCTTGGACGGAATTCAGACTTGCTTGCTGGCTTTGCTTGATTGCTTGCACGCTTGAACGGCATCTGGGGTTTGGGGCCAAGGAACCCTGCACGTTTGCAACAAAAAGAGATTGCACACCACAGCGCAAGTCCATTAAACAAGCACACACCCAGCACAAGCATAAACCACAAAGCAGACCTTGTTGTATCATGCGCGAATGGCTGAAAAGTTCATAACCTTGTGAAGTTCGGCAGGAAGCAGACCATTGTGATCCGACAGCAGCGGCTTTTCCGAGGTGATGAATTGTGGCCCCTCCCGAAGGTGGGAAAGTGCCAATGTCTATCTGGATATTGTGACAACACAGCCTGCAGCCCAGCCAGCCATTTGGTTGTTTAGGGCTGACTTCCTGAGGATTGCAAGTACAGTCTTGAGAAAAGCCAGTAAGTAGCTAATAATCTGCAAAGTTGAAAACTCGGGTAGAATCCTCTGCAGCAGTGTTTTCGTTTATGATGACTTCCCAGCAGCGGGATCAGATTCGCGGTGCCGAGGTGTCAGCGTAACACAAACTCACGGTGGTGCAACAGGATAGACAAGAAACCAGAGGAAGGATTGCAGCTGGCGAGTCTGCGTTGCAGAACCTGAAGCCACAGAGAGGCCTGAACCTCACGTCTGTGTTAGCGCTGCATGGATGTATGCACTGCTTGACAAGCTCTGTACGCGTCACTAAATCGCTGTGTCGCTCAAGATTGAGTGCACATCGTATCAGCCCAGCTCTCCAACCATTCCGCAGTCGCGGCTTATGTTGTGGGGCGGTCTCGGCTGCTGTGACTGGCGATCGGCTGCCAAGGATGGCAAGTGCAAGGTCACTGCCACTTTTCCTGGCAGTTCTGCGTCAACGTCCGGTCCTTGGTCGTTAGGGCACAGGTGCAGTGTATTTTCATTCTCTTGCGGCGATGTTGATGTCTACAGATGTCTAGACAGGTTCGCTCTGACGCAAGCGCGAAAATCTCACTGCCCAGCCTGTCGAGGGGGTAGCGAGAAGCACGGACATGCTTGAACCTCTAACCTCAGTGTGAATCTCCAGGTACACCTCCTTCGGACGTCCGCCCTTCCTGTTTCTTTCACCGGCATTGAGATTGGGATGCTCGATTGAGTGTCCTGCAGTAGTGTATGCAGCTTCCGTGATTGTCTTTGCCCCGTCGTGCCGGGGCACAGAGCTTCAAAGATCTTCCCAGAGGGTGCTGTGGAAGTTGAAGACTTAACCCTGGGTTCCGGCTGCTGGTAGTGTCCGAGCTTCGAGCCGCCCGCTGTAA